CTATTTAATCAAGATCAAGGAACAGTTGGATATTCGAGAGTTTCCCTTGAATATATCAATCATCCCATTTTGATTGCAAGGACATATCTTGATATAAGTTATTGCAATGCATGACTACAACTTTCACCCCATATGAGTGACAGCTCTAAATATATTTGATGATAAGCGTTTACATGATCCAGATCGAAATTCCTAAGAATGAAATTTAGAGCACTGTACATGTTATTCGTTGTATAAATACGAAATCTGATTCTTCAGAAACAAAGATAAAGGTAGTTATGTAGGTGTATAGGTGGATACGGAAACATGGTGTTTCGTCCATCAGAATAAACATACAAGTCACTTTTTCCAACCAGACGCGTAAAAAGTGGAGAAAATACAGCAATAAAGTTTTCTCCGTGTTGACAGCCCAAACAGCGAATATGGATGGTACTTGACTGCATTTAAATTTATGTGTGTTTTTATTCTGACCTGTTAGCTCGAGGTATATGGAAAATCTGGACTGAGCACGTTGAATAAACTACAAACAACGCCTGTTGATCAGAGTTTCAATATATTTGAACAAGAATAATTAAAACAACACGTTTTATACCGAGTTTCAATGTTGTTTGAATTACAAAAAATAAAATTTGAATAAAAATTGACTCCAATGTTAGATAAACAAAAGAAAATCCTGCTAAATCGAGTTTCACTATTACGATAGAATAAACCAGGTTAAACCCACTCTCAGTGTTGTTGGCTTTGCCCTATACAAAATTTCTACAAATAAATGTAACTTTCAATACAATATTCTGAGATATTACGAGATATAACGATGGTAATAAGAGAAAAAACTGTTAGTTCGCTATCATTGGTCTCCACAAATTGTAAAAATTACAACTTCATTTGCTAGTTCTAATGAAATATTACATTTAATTAGTAACGTGATTTAATTGATCCTAAGTTTAGAACTTTTCCTGTATAATAAACTAAAACGAACACTGATGACGACATCGAAAATCAACTACGTATATAAGCAATACACTTTTTAATACGACTAATGAGAATATTGTAGGCAAATAAGTATTCGAGATGTGTACATGACATCTTTACGTTTGTGTATATACGCGTTGACCTGGTTCATTGTGGTGTAAACAAATTATGAAAAGTCACTTTGTGACAACAATTTGAATTTCGTTCATTCTCCTGGTTTATCATACATTATCAAAATTATCAACTGTGTGCAGACTATCTTAGACTTTTATGCGTACTCTGTACATATCTGTAATCTGTATATATGAAATATAATATCAACATTTTCAGTTATTCGCCGAGCACTCCTAAACGTAGCATTCTTAAGGTACAGCAGTTTGACAACATTGTGAAACATGGGCCAAACACTCCTAGCATTTTTTAAGTAAAGCACGGTGACAACATTTTAAACATGGGCCAAACACTCCTAGCAATTTTTGAGTATAGCATGGTGACAAAATTGCGAAACATGGGCCAAACACTCCTAGCATTCTTTAAGTATAGCATGGTGACAAAATTGCGAAACATGGGCCAAACACTCCTAGCATTTTTTGAGTATAACATAGTGACAAAATTGCGAAACATGGGCCAAACACTCCTAGCATTCTTTGAGTATTGCATGGTTACAACATTGTGAAACATGGACAACAACATTGTGAAACATGGGCAACAACATTGTGAAACATGGGCAAAGCACTCCTAGCATTATTGCACGGTGACAACATTATGAAAAAATACAAAAACACTTCTTGAATATATTGGGTATAGCATAATAATAACATTGTGAAATGGAGGCATTATCTAGGTGTAGCAGTATAACAGCATTGAAAAAAAAAAAAAAAAAACGGACATTAAACATAGAAAAATATGGTATGTAGATGTTTTTTTCAAACTGACACAACTTGTAAGGACGTAAGACAGAGAAGATTTTTAATATGGTATTATAAATCTTCTCTGTCTTAGGTTTAATAATTCTTTCAAAAAGGCGGCACAATATAAATTTATTTAACAAGAACTGTCCAGGAGTCAACGCCATGACATCCTTCGGAATCCAGTCAAAGTTTTCCACAAGCCCGTACCCTTTGTCTGCTGATGCGCCGTTCGCATCAACACGTGGCTGACGGGAAACCCACACCACTTCTTCTCTCATTATTTATCAACCCATGTTTTCTGTTACATTTTATAGCATCCACGTGCACTTAAGACGGTGTAGGAATCATTTTGAAGGACAATTGTTCCAAATGATACGCAACAATTCAGTAAAAGATACACAATGATGTAGATAGGCTTTGATACTGCAGAGGAAGTAGTATGAGTGATATTTTCGACACCCCCGTTGATAGGGAATGAAAAGTGTCTATCAAACAATGGATTAAATCGACTGTGCTGAATGTTTCCACATCAGACACACTTAAGAAGCGTACAGGCTTTTTGTTGTAAGGTTGATTAGCTTGTATCATCGGATTAAAAATGAAAACAAATCTTTAACTAGCCGTGATGAAATTAATATGCAAGGCGACGTTTACTAGATGTATAACTTATTTAAAATAATATCGAAACTTTTTTTATTTTCTGAATCGAGATGAGGGGGCTCATAGACTCTCGCACATCTATGACCAGCTATAAAACTAAGCGTTCCGAATCGTTTCACTGGTCATTTTTCTAATGAAGGTGACATGTATCGTACTAGTCACCGAAACGTCACACCTAAACACTTACTGGTTGTGATATATAAACTTTCTACAAATAATATCGAAAATGTTATTCAACTGCTAGTTAATAAAAGATCGTCAATCATCGTCAAGCAAAGAATTATATGGAAACTGACCTAACTAGTGAGTACATGTACGTCCAAAACAACGTCAGGTTGTAAATCCTCATCGGTCGAACATTTTTTAAAGTCAAACTATAGGATTTTTACCAAGTAATTAAATTCTATAAAACATATTTCATCTACACGGTAACTTTAGAAACTACAAAATAATATAGAAATGATAAAAGTTTAATATTTATATCATTTTGATGTTGAATTATAATTCGTCGTAATTTTACTTCTGTTAATCATTGACCTATTGATATGTCATATCCTTTTATAGTAAATTCATTGTTTGTGTATAGTAATGTCATATCTAATGTAAAGTAATGACTTAAGCAATGTATTGTGATGTCATAATATGTGTTTAAGGATAACATTATATATTTATAGTTATATCATGGTCTGTGTATGGTAAAATGATAGAAAAGGAGTGACAGAAGTGGGCGGTAAAATGCACTGAATCCCTTCACACGTATGTTTAGAGGATAATAATTACTTGAAATTGATGAATGGGGCAAGAAATAATTCCAACAGTGTTGACAATATAAGGTAATTTTTCGGAGCTACACGTTCCTTTATCGAGACATAGAAAATACAGGCATTACATTAAAACCAATAGGATAAAATGTAGGATATGAGATAACGAATATCCGCACGGTAGCGTAAGCCGAATGCAGAACTTGCACTGACCTCTTTCGTATACCAATAACACTGTGTGGGTGCAATCATGACGAAGATACTAGTGTTAAGGGTTGTTTGGTGTGCTCACTTTGTTTTTCTTTTTGTTTCGGTGCCTTCTCCTTTCCGAGTGGATTCCGGGTGTTTTCCTTCTTTAGAAACGTTATATAAGGTCCTCTTTTGCATTCTTCCAATATACAATACTTGTTCTTTTGGTTTAATGTAATGGCAGTTGGCAGGAATATACATTATGCCTATGTAACGATAGATGGGGAACAACAAGTTTGATAAAAGGAACTCTGAAGGTGTGATAGGTTATCACATGTCATATTTTTGACATAATGTGGTAGGGTTTATATCCGTGTTTTAAGATGTTTTTTGTATACGTCATCCTCGATATCCAGGGGTTACGCTCACTTTCGCTTTCTGCATCAGGGATATGTCATAGCAAAATTGAAGGCACGAAGATAACTGTTTGATTGGTCTCAGGTAAAAAAAAAATACCTGACCAATCGCTAGGTTGATACCTGTCCTTTGAAGATTACAAAGGAGAGACGCCCAACTTCAAAACCTGTCAATATTTACCGTTACGTGACCGCGATATTCTTTTGATGTACATCAAAGGATCAAACTAGTTTTCTCGTCTTATCGTCAAGGTGCTACACACTGAGCCTTCGAATTTGCTATGACATATTCCAGGGGTGCAGAGAGCGAAAGTGAGCGTAACCCCTGGATATCGAAGATGTGTATACGTCTGTAACAGATTGTATATATGTCTCTGTTATTGAACTATGATTATGTAAACCACGTGTGACATCACATTCGTTGTAACAATATAGTGTTTTTGCTAGTTTTGATGTTGTAAATCAAGTCCCTTCAAAACATTATATATAGTTATCACAAAATGTGTGGTTTCCATCTATGGTATACTTACACTATAACATCCCTTTATCATTATACATTAACCACACGGGTTACATGTCATTACAAATGTGAGAAGATATGAAAATATGAACGAGGGAGCTTATAGATACATAGAGTCAGGCCTCGAATGGATGTCCCTCGTTTCTTTTGCCACCTCACTTCTGACAACATATCTCAAAGACCTCTTTTCCTTTTCCATTATACTATTTGCTTCATTTTTGACCACGCCCCTTAAATTTGAAAATTTTGTTTAGGCAAATTATGGCAAAAGGACGAGGTTTTTCATCACGAAATAACACATTAGAAAACTAACAATAATAGAATACATAAGTGTGAACAAAACCACAATGCGAGCTCAATATCGATAAAACGAGGGCGAAATAGGATCAAAGGTTTCATATGGGTAAGCGTCTTCTGTTTTTTCGACGACTGTCTGTTTTACATGTGTTATGTTATCTTGACAGTTTCTGATGCTTTTAGAAATAGATATAATACTAATGCACCTACCATGAAAAAACATGAAAATAATATCAAAATGTTATTTATAACAAACAAAAATTCACTGTTTCAGTTTTCACCATCATTGAATGTTTGGCCGAGCGTTTAGAAGACAATGTGGTACATTTGGACCTTCGGAACGGTGTTGTCAGGGGGTTTAGTAATCATATCTCATTCATACATAAACCCACAACGAGACCAGGGAGGTCATGTGATAAACAAGTTGTTTTAAAATTAGATTTTTCTGGTCCATATAAAGAGGCCAAAATTCTATTGGATTATGCTGAACCTCCAAGACTATGGACACTCGACATATCGGATTCACCAACTGGCGATGGGTATGGCGGTGATAACGGATCAACAAGCAATATGGCGGAAACTCAAATTCACAATAAGCAGTTTCGTATTTACGGAAATAATCTGCCTGGTCACATGGACGCTTCTGCAAACGGTGGGCTATTGATAACGACAGTTGACAACTTTATACGGAGAGGAAGTACGGCGAAAATCAGTATTAGTGATGAGCGTGTGGAATGGAAATCTGGACCGCATAAGGATAATATAAAATCCCGCTTTTTGTACACGTTGCGTGGGCAACAGCCGCTGTATGGAACAGTCGATTATAATGTGTATGTTGGACTCAACCGAGTTGTGGCGGGAAACTTCAGGAGCGGAAGTGGTCTTTGTAGCGCTACAATTGCTCTGCAATCTTCGGGTAAGTGATGATTTTTTATTTTCATTTTTTGTGTGTAACTTGTTTTGAAGTTATTCTTTTTTGTTTCACATTACTATCTAAATGCACAGTGTGAGGGGTATACTTACTAACACTGACCCTTGTGTTGGTTATGCAGGCATAATCATGGCTGTACAGACCTTAATCATGATTGTATCAACACTTGTCATGATTTTACCAGATTCGTCGTTGCGTACAAATATGTCCTGATTTTACAAACGTTGGTCATGTTTAAACCTTTTTCGTTACTCTTAATTTACACATCCGTAAAGTTCAGGCAGAACTGAATGGTACTGCAAAAAGCTGTGTTTAATCATATATAGAGAGTATGCATTTATACAAACTTGCGGGTTGTGCCAATATATATACATGTATATAGCTATACAGCGTTGTATTTATTCATAAAACGCTGCGTTATATCCACATTTTAGCCATATTTTGTGATATTATAAAGATACAGTAGGTCATAGAAAGTTATTGTATGATTTGTTTAATTTCGTTGTGCAGGTTCCATAATCAATTTTTACTTCTCGAAATACTGTTAAAAAAGCATGTGTGTTCACCTTAACTACACCTTGCGTAATAAGTTGTCATATGAACAGTCAACATGATAGTTATACTATGTGATGATAAATGAGTTAATGACAAACGTGTCTATCCTATATACATCATATGACGGTCGCCTTCAACAAGGTCGAACTAATCATAACAGTGTTGTAAAAAGCTAGATATTTAGGTGAAGTGTTGTATGCATTTAAGGTTTGGGAGTTACGGCTTTAATGCAATATATTTCATGTATTTAGCGTCTTTTCAGAAACTTGATAACAATTCTAATTTCATCTGTACCTTCAAAGATAAACAAATGTTATTAAGACGGGTAACACATAATTAATCAAGTTCAAAAACATTTCAAAAGAGAAACTTGCAGTTTGCATTCGACTGACAAAAACAAACGTAAATTGTTTATTTAAGGGCAAGTCACTCTAACTAAACAAATGTCATGTTGGTGCCTGTTTCATTGCGCTGAAGCCTGTGCCATTGCTGGTTAAACTGTTTTCTGGTATTATTGCAACACAAATATGCCAGGTGGTAAGTAACCTATGGTTGCCATCGTTACTTGGAATAGAATAAATCAGTTACCATGATACCTCAACTGCCATGGTGACCACTTAATTATACAAAAGATTAACTAAGGAACCAATAAGCCATCCCGTGAAAGTACACTGTGTTTTCTGTAGCATACTACATGTGTATTGCCTTGGATGACAAAATTCATGGAATCAATAATTAGTCTTCATGAAAATTGCATTTTGTAAAGTAATGTTAAGTGAAAAGTGCTAAATCAAATCTGTTTATTTTCTTCAAGAAAGGGAAAGATGTGTTTCAATCAATATCATAAAAGTCAAACCAGTTATAATACTAACTTATACCCTAACAGGTCCTCGTACCACTGCCAAACACTGTTACTAAGTATTGGAAACTGGGGGTTTTCGGCATGACTATAGCTTTGGTCAATAATTTCTGAAAAGAAAAACCATACCTTCCCGGATTTTTATGTCAAATTATAAAGATGAAATAAACAAAATTTATTCAATAACAGTGTTTTGAGCGTAAAACATCAGGCGGACTAGACCAGGATTCGAACCGTGAACCCGTTTTAGCTACCTACGCATCGAAAGTATTCTGGACCAACCTTTTCAATAGTTTTATTGACAGATTGTTTAATTTCCATATTTAATCTTAAGCAATTATTCTCGTATGGCAAGTAGTATCTACACTATCTGGGAAATTGTGACTCAGCATGTTTATTAGCACTCTGTGCCATACTCAATTCACTAACCATATACGGTAAACACTTGCTATTAGATTGCATTAACCTTCAACCAACACGATGTGTTTACAATAATATAACAGATCTAATATCACTTTTCTAAACAATCAGTATTTCTACTGTTCGATTCTACATACAAATTGTTGGTTCTTAAATATATCACTAACCATAGCCACGTTTTTATAATTTTTCAAGTTGATGTTTGTCTTTTTACCTTTTCGTTTGTTCGATGTAATCTGCTTTTTCGTGTTTCATCAACAGTTATTGACCCTTATAACCTCTTTTGTGTTGATGAGCCGTTAAGAATCAAATAATAATGATAATAATAATAATCAATTCCAAGTTTAAGAGGAGGTTACTTGAAAGGAATCAGAAATACATGTCGACAAATAAAGATATAGATCTCTTACCTATCTATATAAAACTGACTTCAACAATTGTTTTATGTTAGTGATAGTTATGGTGTAAGTTAGCTCAACTGAAATATCCATTTTTTTTACTGTATCATATGATTAAGTATCGTTCTTTATTTTCAATTTGTGATTGTATGTACTAAATGTAGCTCCTTATTTAAACAATTTTATTAAATAGACGGTTACGTCGCCAGTAAATATAGGGATGACTTTCACGTCGTGTGCAGTAGTTTTTGAATGCAATTTTTATGTCGACTCTGAGTGAAATATTACGACGACTGGGGTCTATGATTGTCTTCAAGCGTCGACTGTAGTCTATGATTGTGATATTACGTCAATTGTAGTCTATGATTGGGATATTACGTCGACTGTAGTATATGATTGTGTTATTACATTGAAGTTGACGTTGGTTATGTGTTTTTTTAACATTATAGCGTCGAGCGTTGTCTATGTTTTAGTTTTACTTCGACTGATGGCTGTGATTGTGTCTTTTCCCCCCGAAGGTTCCCTGTGGCTGTTCTGTACATGTTATACTCTATGTGGCCTAGGTTGTGCTGTTACGTCAACTGTGGCCTGTTATTGTACTTTTGGCTCTCTACATCAACATGCTAAATGATCTGGTGATTGCTTTACGTCACAGTCTTTTAGATTGTGCTGGTGGATTGTCATTCTCCGAAGTTGGCCATGACCTTGTATTTAGAATTTATTCTTGAACGGTTTCATAAAATACTAGTTTAAGTATATGATTATGATCTGTTGTGTCGAAAGTTGTATAGATTGTCGTGATTAAGTGCTTTATTGACTGCTTTTCTCTTTCTACAGATTTTAGAAAACATTAGATATGGATTTTAAAACATTGACCTTTAACACCTCTGATGAGTCCTAATTCAAGGGTCTTATTTACAGCTAAGGTTATATAAGGACTTGTGTCCATGTAGGTAATGTTTGTGTGCTAACACGGCGGTATACATGCGTGTAATGTGTTTGTGTGCTATGATGGCGGTATACATGTGTTTGTGTGCTATGACGGCGGTATACATATATTTGTGTGCTATAACGGCGGTATACATGCGTGTTATGTGTTTGTGTGCTATGACGGCGGTAAACATGTGTTTGTGTACTATGATGGTGGTATACATATATTTGTGTGCTATGACGGCGGTATACATGTGTGTAATGTGTTTGTGTGCTATGATGGCGGTATACATATATTTATGTGCTATGACGGCGGTATACGTGTGTGTAATGTGTTTGTGTGCTATGAAGGCGGTATACATATATTTGTGTGCTATGATGGTGGTATACGTGTGTGTAATGTGTTTGTGTGCTATGACGGCGGTATACGTGTGTGTAATGTGTTTGTGTGCTATGACGGCGGTATAAATGTATTTATGTGCTATGACGGTGGTATACATGTGTTTGTGTGCTATGACGGCGGTATAGATGTATTTGTGTGCTATGACGGCGGTATACATGTATTTGTGTGCTATGACGGCGGTATACATGTATTTGTGTTCTATGACGGCGGTATACATGTGTTTGTGTGCTATGACGGCGGTATACGTGTGTGTAATGTATTTGTGTGCTATGACGGCGGTATACATGTGTGTAATTTGTTTGTGTGCTATGACGGCGGTATACATGTATTTGTGTGCTATGACGGCGGTATAGATGTATTTGTGTGCTATGACGGCGGTATCCATGGGTTTGTGTGCTATGACGGCGGTATAAATGTATTTATGTGCTATGACGGTGGTATACATGTGTTTGTGTGCTATGACGGCGGTATACATGTGTGTAATGTGTTTATGTGCTATAACGGCGGTATACATGTGTGTAATGTGTTTGTGTGCTATGACGGCGGTATACATGTGTGTAATGTGTTTATGTGCTATAACGGCGGCATACATGTGTGTAATGTGTTTGTGTGCCATGACGGCGGTATACATGTATTTGTGTGCTATGAAGGCGGTATACATGTGTTTTTGCTAGTTAACCCGTTACCACTATATATATAATGTGATCAAGCAACTGATATGCTGGGTGCCTCCAGCATGATATTTTGGTATGGTAGCACTCTAAAGACGTTATTAGATTCGCACTATTACATTGTGAAAAAAAGAGAATGAAATGGATGTTTGGTATAGAAACAAAATGTTAACTTTGTCAGCTTTCTGTATTGACATATTGATTATTTTACGGGTGATTTCATTTAATTTCTTATAATTATAATAGGTCGACTGTGACCTCTGATTTTACTTTTACGACGAAATTGGCCCAAGATTTTGCACGCTAGTATTAGTGAATATCAGAGTGTGTTATTTGACGCAGGAGGATCGTTGTACTCAAGAGCTGGTAATAGACAGCTTTTTACTGAGCAGACAAATGTGTCCAATCTGTTCTTGTTTGCATTTACAGATATACATAATACGAAATACTTCAATTCATTGTAACACAAGTGTTAAAACAACTCGTAATATTTATATAACCCTGTGTGTGTATACACCCCCTAGTCCCGGCTGCAGAATGGAGAACATCCAATTCTCGGGCCTTAGTTTAAACAATATCTCTGGAGTGTTCATCTGTTTAGTCTACAGGTCGAAATCGTTTTTGATAGCTTGCCGATAGACTGTGCAGACCTGCTTCCGGTACCAAACTAAAGAAATCGATGTGGTGACAGAATAGGGAGTAGCCGATCTTTCGGCATTTTTGTTATCGTCCTGTTTGATTTCGTTGAT